GTGTGAAACCGCGTGGAAGTAGCTAGCAGTATGTATAAAGCTGAAAAGTTTGTTTGTTTGAGTGCGTTAATCTCAGGAACTACTGGACCGATTTGAATAATTCGTTTTGTGTTGGATAGTCCATTTATCGAGGAAGGCTATAGGCTATATAACATCATGCTACGACCAATAGGAGCTGAGCAGAGCGGGTGAAACCGCGCGGAAGTAGCTAGTAGTATGTATAAAGCTGAAAAGAGTGTTTGTTTGAGCGCGCTAATCTCAGGAACTACTGGACCGATTTGAATAATTCGTTTCGTGTTGGATAGTCAATTTATCGAGGAAGGGTATGAGCTATATAACATCACGCTACGGTCAATCAGAGCCAAACAAAACGGGAATTTTTTTTTTGATGCCTTAAGCTAACATTTTTGTTTTATTTTCAACCGAGTTCAAAAAAAAGGAGGTTCTCAATTCGACTGTACTTATTTTTTTTTTAGGTAATTTTAAGGTGTAAATAATTTAGTTTTTAGTTTATTTGTATTTAATATTAATATTATTTAGTTCTTATTATTATTATTTTAGTTTCGTATTTGAAAGGTACAGGTTATGAGCCCACAAGGTACCTAAACAAACCAAGAGGCCCGTAATGTGTTACATATTTAAATAAGTATCCACGATGTTTTGTAACAAGGTCGTTATAGAAGCAGGTTTTTTTTATATTAGGTATATCAGAACTATTTCACAAACAATATTTGCTTGGGTTGCATAAATTAATTAAGAACTTGTCTTTTCGTATGTAGGTCTCATTTCTTACCTACCGATTTTTGTATGATTTCTTCCGCGCAACAAAAAAAAAGAATAATTATTTTGCTAAAATTTTTTTTTAATTCCTTAGGCGTTGTGGTGACGGAATTCGCGATTCTTCCCGCAAGGGATGCGGAAGGACTAGCGGATTACCATGGCTCCGGCTGGATACAGTGCCTTTAGCCAAACGCCACATTAGCGCTTGTCTACAGAGAGAGTAGAAAACTAAATGTATGGGGATGACACTGACAAGTGTCAAAATTTACGTCAAATCCATATAATTTGTTTTCTATTCTACATGTGGACAAGCGCTAAGTGGCATTTGGCTACAGCTGCAGGAGTGGAAACGGGGTGGTGTTTAGGCATCTGCCCAGTCCCCAAGCGGTCACCGGTGACTGTGTTCCACTTATTCCATTATAGACCTTATTTCCGATGTGTAGAGACTACTTTTGTATGAACAAATCTTGTGGATTTTCCTTTTACAATTTTATAGTTACTTAGTACTTAGCAATGCCCAAACATATATATATATGATGACATCATTATGTATACTTTGCATCTTTGTGTACAAATATTTAAAAAGAATGTCCATTTTTGTAATATTATAATCTTCACAAAATGGGGACCGAATGGACACCTATTTGGTTTACAATTGTGTCATTTATTATCTTCAAGAGTTTTGCAACTAAAATAATATTTGACAAAAACAAGTCATAGGTATTTAACTTTCAATAAATATATTATGCAGGAAAATCTAAATAAATAAACATCATGACTACATAACATACATATTTATAGAAAATAAATATTTAAAAAAATATTCCATATGTCCTTAGACCTTTTTTATGGGACAAGCCCGCCACAACCTCCCAAAACAGTTGCAACTCCTGTAAGACAGGATCTACAGTAGATACAACCATGAAAACACCGGATCAAAAAGTCAGTGCGTCTCAGAGACATGAATACAGGTCAGGTCTTTAGACCTGAAGAAGTTAAAATAATAAATGCCTATAATTTAATTCTAGGACGATAGTATCCAGCCGCGGAAGCATTAACAGGTTACCGGGGCTTCAGTTCGAAGAGCAATGAATAGGAACGGGGTGGTTTTTAGTCAGTAAGAATCTGACACTCTCGCCTCACTCAAGGTGGGTGGAGTCATTGGATGATTTCTTAAAAAAAGGATGATAGTAATGCTACTCTAAGCCTTGATTTGATTAAGTATCTAATTAAAACAATTAGCAGTATAGTAGCAAATGCCACAGATAACTAAGCAAACCTACTTACTTTATGTAACAGTAACACCCACTCTGCCTATTATGTTATGAAAGCTTGACAATAGGAATTTTTTTTTTAATTGTTGACAATGGAGTTTTATGCTTGTTCTTCTCCATTCGAAACTTAAATTTGGAATGTAATGTAGCTTCACTGAGAATTCAATTTTCTTAATTCCCCTATACTTATTATACTCTTTGCTGCCTAATTAGCTATTAATTGAAACATAATGAAGACACAATACATACAGTAAAATGGGTAGACCACTAAGTTTTTTTTGAAAACACAGTAATACTTTGCCCTGCCCGGGTATCGAACCCGAGACCCCTTGCCCGGCAGTCGTACTTGTGACGACTTGGCCAATAAGGCAGTCTGTTGCTGTTTTTAATATAAGTTTATTACTTATTGATTTAATTTTCAATCATTTCATATCTATACTGACAAAATATTTACAAACAACTTCAAAAAGATTGGTAACGTAATAACACCCACTTATAAAGAATCAGCACAAAATATTATTCCTATCAAGATATATAAGATAATAATACATGCATCAAGAACTAGATAAGTTAATGTATTTTAAGATATTAAGTGTAAGATAACAGTCTCATTTAATTTATACAATTTTTTAAACCAACATGTTACAATAGAGTGCACGCTTAAACACTGCGAAATAGTGATTTAAATAATTTATGAGCTTGAATATATCTCAGTAATCTAGATAGTAAAAGTGATTATGTCATTATACAGTCCCAACAAGATTGTTATTGGAATCCATTACTGATTTCTGATCATCGAAAAATGATTCCATAAAAATGAATGAAAGAATAGTCAATCAATGTTGTGTTTGTTTAATGTTTTTGAAAATGGAACAGTAGGGCGAACTGCAGCGACATACAGCCTGACGTCATCCCGGAACTACAGATATTCCTTAGCACGCGAAATATTAAAAAAAATATTGCAATATTTCACTCTAACATTATATGAATTGGAATGACGTCCACTTCAACAAACGAAGAAGGTCAAACATTATAAACACTCACCAATTACGATTATATTTAATTAAAATCTTTAATTATTACGTACACAATCAAAGTTGGCATTATGAGTTACGATACAAACAATAGATTTTAATTATCTTAGAGTTCTGAATTCAAAAATAAGGCTTCCGAAATATAAAATACATTTCACAATAAAATATTACCTTTGTGTATAGCTCCTTCGTAGTCATCTTCAAATAGTATAATTATTTTAACTCAATAAATGAATAAATTATAAATATTATTTCACTACGAGTTGAGAACTTAAATAATACATTTTATTTTAATTAAATTTTAAAGTATGTAAGGTAGATTCGAAATACGATTTTCCGAATGCGAAACGTCACTACAATGTTATTGACATTTTATTTTCAGTGTTATCAGTTTTTTATCAATATCACAAAATAATATTACTGCACGGAACTGTTTGATTTCTCACTGTGACAGTTTTTCATGTTTTCTACACGGAAATTATTCTTATTGGAATCTAATTGCCTCACAAAAACATATGACAACAATACAAATCGAAAGTTACGCTTATCTATAAAGTTCCCACGGTTGGGGCTGCCATGATAAAATATACGGATTGAGGACACATTTACGCTTCATTACACGCAGACTTAGAAATGCGTTAATCGATTTTTAATAACTTTGGTTTCTGAATGAGTTCTTATTCCAATTAGTCTAAGTAGTTACGTCGTCAATTAGATTTATTATTTTTCCACACCTATCGCGTTAAGTATTTAGGTCGTATAATAATGTATATAACTGGCGTATGTAAAAAGGGAAATGCTCGCCAAAACTTAGAATTTTTATCGGGGTCGTTTCTATCAGTAAATATTGCAGTTTTTGTAGTATCTAGTTCCCCTAAAAAATAAAACCGTACAGTATTTGATAAAATTAACTGTAGGTTCGTATACTTCAGGGTGAAAAGTTTACATTACCATTGGCGTGTAGATCACTAATATGACTACAACACAAAATATTCTGCGGTCGAAGAAAACATTGCACTAGCAAGATTTTTGTCTGTACACTGATGCTACTGCTGACTTATCTATTAGACTACATAGGGGAGTTTATAATCTCTACAATTGGTAGGCCGGTTGGAGATTGTAGTAGTTGAACTTCTCGTTCTAGTTATATCAGAGAATAAGAATAAGAATGTTGATTTGCACGAAAAATAGTTACCTATATACATACATACACATACAGTTAGCACATACATAGTTTTCAGCATGCAAACTTTAATGTTTCTACTGCTCGGTTTATACAAAATGTGTAGGTAGACTCTTTGCAGGCATTTTATTTAAGGGGGGAAAAAAATCATCGAAGGGCTTCTCCTATTTGGGTGTGGGTTGGAGGAAGTGTCAGACTCTTACCTACTGACTAAAAACTACCCCATTCCTACTCCTACACTTCGAGCCGGAGCCTCGGTAACCCGTTAAGTCCTCCGCAGCTCCGCTTGCAGGCACACTACTCTTCAAGTTCGAAAGCAGTTCTGTTATTGAACAATACATAATTATTTTGACTGTTTACGTACACTAGGTACTATACTTCTACTAGGTACTCTGTCTGTCGTCATCGTCACCGCGCAGCCTAGAATTTTGGTAATCTCTCCTTTATTGCAGTCAACAATGTGCAGGGCATTTGGACTAGGAAAAGTCGCTTTGAGTTTATAAAAAAAAAGAATTTCTTGGATTTCTAGCATTTATTTCTACATTTTAAGTCATACAGTTTTCCAGCCTTTAAGATATAAGTACAATTAAATTAAATTATTTAAAAGAAAGCATTGATGTTGCTATGCTCGTTACAAAATATCCCTACAAATTAATACATAATTATGCCATAATCCATAAGTCAAATGCTATTGTCGTAAACGGTTATATGCTTGTCTTATATGTTAATTCACTTGTTTTCGGGAGATGGGAACCACGCCTGGCAAGCCTCAGTGGCGATCTCGCACAGAGCCGTGAAGGTCTTGCTGCGTTGGTCGTATTCTGTAAAAAAGAGTATTTGAGTAAGAAATGTAGCCAAATACTAAAGTTAAACGGTGATATTATGTAGCTGAAAAACAAAGAACTCAATTGCACTTCAAAACAAAACAAGCAGATGTTCAACAAATGATTGGTGGAGCTAAATGGCGAGTAGTGACAATCTTGGTCGAATGTAAGATATAGTTGGGCATAGATCCACAAACTTAACGTCAGCTAAACTGGCTCAGAAAAATCAGCAAATAGTGATAAGATAATATTCTTGGTTACCATGAAGGTTGACGTAATTGAAATGGATTTAAAAGGATTTGGAAAGAGCCTTTTTTAGCAGAGAGACAACAATGGTTGAAAGTCTTAGAATACTCTCAAAATGTGCTTAATACAGCTGTAAGATTGATACATACCAGTTGGTCCCCTCTTGCCGAACATGATGCCGTTCATGGGTGCGTTCTTGTAGTTGGCTTCGCTGACTTCAGCCAGGGAGAGAAGGACAGCCACCACGCAGACGACGCCAATGGTGAAACGCATCATATCTCCGGACATCTGAGAAAAAATTAAGATAGAGTTAGCTTATTGTAACTTCGGTAATGCCTTCTCTGAACAATGTGACTGTTGAAAGTATAATTTGATCTTCATTTCGAAGTCGGTCTACCCTATTACTGAATAGAAGCTCCAACCATGACTATGCCAATTTTTTGCATAGGAGCCAGTAAGTATCAGCGTATCAAAACAGTGGAATTAAAATTAGACCCAAAGACTAATTCGTAAAGACCATCAATGATGATAACAAACTATAGAAGAATAACAACTAATATTTTAAAGAATCACCAACCACAAAAGAAAAATTACCTTTAGTTTAGTAAGATTTTTCTTTGCTGTTAACACCGAAGCGGTTGAATGTCAACTGATGCTGAAGTGTGATTTTCCCGCCAATTTATACTCTGAGAGGAAATATGGCGGCTATCCACCCAATTATTGGATTACTGGATACTGACCGCATATTGACAGTCCCCGAGTGATCCCAGGAGATTATAACTTCGTTAGTGCATAAGATTAGTAGCTGGAATTGAGCGGAGTGGTACGCCATCATAGTTTCGTTATACATACTCAGATTGTGAGATGAGATGGGAATTTCTAATGAAGTCGGTCTCTTAAGATTTTGACACAAAGCTTTTGTTCTACGAATCTTTTCTTAGAAATTGTGTGATGCGGAAGCTTTAATGTTTTTTAATTTAGTTTAACAGCACTGTGTGATCTCAACCGTCAAATGACTGTGCCCAATGCGCAAATCGAACGTGCAACCTGCATTATGACACGTGAGATGATATACCTCTAATGTAGCACGATTCTTGCAATCTTACTACCTTAATCAAAAATATCTAAATCGATCTCGGTATTTGTCTTCAATCAGCTTCAGGCATAAAGAAATTATTTATTGAGATCAGCTATTCAGCTAGGCTAATCTATAAGATGTCAATTCGAACTCTCGATGTGAGCTCGATCGCGATCCGCCATGCCATTGATTGTGAGAAAAATTTCGACCAAAGACGGACGAGAATGCAATCGAGCTCACTTTGAGAGTTCTAATGAACATCTTACAGAATTGCCTAACAGTTACTTTAGTTTAATTCACTCGTTATAGAGTCAGTCATCGTGCCTTAACATTACGCCTCATATTTCCTAATAAGTTGCCAAAAGTGTGCTTAAGTGTGGAAGAGCCATTCTTCAGCACAAGGGGCCGGCTCGACCGGAGCGATACCACGGCCTAGGAGAAAACCGGCTTAAATCAACGCTTGCTTTGTGTTTCATCATGCGAGTGAGGTTCTCCCCTTTTTCCCCAATCCTCAAATCCTAAAATTCATAATTTCCAAATAGCCGGTAAGGCACTTGTAACACCTCTGGTGTTGCAGGTGTTCATGAGGGCGTCGATTGCTTACCATCACGGGATCCGTCTGCTCGTCTGCATATGCTTATCCCATAAAAAAACCATTAACTGACTAGATCGTTCAGCAGCATTCTCTAAATCTCTTTTAAATTGTGACGACGTCCAATCCATCAGCTAAAAATGAAAGCAAACATTTTTTGTTGAGGCTCATAGTTCTATCTTTGGTCCTTACTGCCACGGAGTAATTCACTGTTTTTCGGCGTCACAACAGAAATGTAACTTGAAAGCATAAAAATTGCTTTTCAAAACCATCAGGCGGTTTGCAAACAACAAGAAAAACAAATCACGATCGAATAACTCAATCAGTCACAAGATTAACAGACTATAGACTGAATCTATCAAATAATAATTTAACCTACTCTTCTAATATGATCAATTTTTCATTACTTTCCTATTAACTCTGTCTGGGCACAAAATTGCAGTGTATTGGTTAGGGATTCGATTAGTTGCTGGTCCCTATAAAAGAGGACTGAAAGACGTCAAATGCATCAGTTGCTTTCTGATCCTTCGATCTAATACTTCTTCAAATTTTATTAACCAGGTAAGTTTTTGAGAACCCCATAACACAGAGAGTCTTTTTAAGTACCCAAAAAGAGATTGTAGCTTTACGTTTGTCCTGTTTTCGGGTAAAAGTCGATGACTTGAGTAAATCAATGACACTATCCAAACTGAGTACCGCGGAGAACCTAACGGGTTACTGGGGCTCCGGCTCGAAGTGCATAAGTAGGAACGGGATGGTTTTTAGTCAGTATGAGCCTGACACTCCCTCCCGCCTCACCCAGGCGGGAGAAGTAATTCGACGATTTTCCTCCCTTAAATAAAAAACAAATCCAAACTGAGTACCCATCAAAAATAAACTTCGAAACATCTTGCTACCTACTCCATTGAATGTCATCGTCCCAACATAGTTTAATAATTTGTAACTTTTTCTGTATCACCAATACATTTGTAACTCTGGTGTTGCCAGTATAAAATGGGTGGCGCTGACCACTTACCATCAGGAGATTTATCAAAGTACTCGTTACTTAAACAAAATCTATTCATCTCATTCAATATATTTTTTCCAGCTCTCTCCAAAAATGCGATTCATCCTGGCTCTGTGCTTCCTCGCCATCGTCCTCTGCATCCACAATGCTGATGCTGCTACATACAGGAAGCCGCCTTTCAATGGCTCCATTTTTGGCAAAAGAGGTGTTGTTGGTAAGTCAAGAAGCTTTAACTTATATACCCAAAGCTCCTTTTTTACCTTAATCTAGAGGTAATCGCTTAACATCAGGCAATGTGTCTGCCCATTAGCCTCCTATTCTATGAATATTAGTCCACAGACGTTGAAAACAAGGCGAACGTAATGACATGACATAGACATAACACATAACGTCACGCCTTTTATTCCCGAAGGGGTAGACAGAGGTCCACACAGAAGTATTCACTATTTATGTTATGAGTCCCATGTAATAGGGGGTGAGCCTATTGCCATATAGGTAACGTAATGACACTTAGAAATTATTGAAACCTAAATGTCAGTGTTCCATTTATCTGTGCGTGTACCTACCTGCAAGGTGTCCTTCGTGTCAATGTGTGTGTATTTCGCGTGTAAGTCTATAGTAGCTAGGTGCCACAGTTGTTGTTTAACTCGTCGAGTACCGTATTTATAGACACAATTAAAGAACAATAGGTTGCGGTCACCGGTGACCGCTTGGTGTTTGACAGTTTAAAAAGACTATGTCCACCTTTTTTTAACGTCCTTGTATTTGTTCAGCAAAATAAAAAAGTATGAAAGCGAAACATACACTCATTACTCTATTATGCAACACACTCTATTATGTACACCAATTTGAGACAGTATATCCAGGTACAAATAAAAAAATAGGGTACAAAGGCGGCCTTATTGCTAAAAGCGGTATCTACCAGGCAACCTTTGGATTTAGTTATATAAGGGGCGTGTTGGGTGTGATGATTAATAATTATATTATAATACTTCGTTTCAAAACCTATTTTCTTAATTGCAGAGTACGATTCTACCGGCAGAGCTTTATCGGCGTTGTGCGAGATTGCCGCTGAAACTTGCCAGGCGTGGTACCAAACCCTCGATAGTTAAATAATTAATTTTAAAATTCTAAATATGCTTCATATTATGTACTATTCTACACTAAGCCTTTTATATTGTGATAATTATGTAATGGACAACTCATGTAACCTTAAATAATCGTAATAAAGATTCATAATTCATTTACATTGTTTTCGTTTTGTACCTTACCAATATTTAACTGAACAAATCTTCTAAAAGTGTAGGTAATATGCACAATACACTTCTATTTACATCTTTAGAGAGTAACCGGCACAAATCTAACGCAACTACGCAACGCACTATCGTAATTCTGCGTATAGGTACCAACTCAAAGAGCAAGTAAACATCTCACAACTTGGGTGTCCAGTAGCTAAATTGCTTTAGGGACCCTGAGATTTCATCGTGTGTACGCGGATTACGACTAATGGTCTTCCAAACTAAGTGCGGTTATGGGATACTTAATATCCATAATTGATCTTAATGGTTTTCAAATTGAGTATACGTTTACTTTGACTTCATTTTCCAAAAAAAACTAATCAATCTGTTCAATATTATAAGAGGAGATACCAAAAAGAGAGATCCCTACCAGGTCTGCCTTACTAGCTAGATGATAGTATAATTAATACTAACGATCTTAAGAATATATCTAACTTCATTTTATAAGTACTGGTATCTATTAGTATAAGCGAAAAAAAATTTTTTTTTCTTAGCGTAAGTCCAGTGATTCATGAAACGGAATGTTATATAGAAGAACGTTCTAAATTACTAAACGTCAAAAAACTGACAGGCCACGATGTATTCGAATCTGTGGTTATTTACGTCAAACAATAGCGCATACTTATTGGTCTAAGATTTCGTTATTAGGCATTGACCAATAGCAATTTTCTGATTAGACCACGTTTTCTCATAGAAAACAAATCTTAATCTGTCTAATGGCTGCTACATTTTTGCGATTTACGTGTGTGGCAAATTAAATTTTCTTTGCTAAATTATTATTTGGAAGATATTAACTGTGTGTTAACCAAGTACGTAACGTGGGATTTTCTGATAAGTTCAGAGGAAACATTTCGTCTTGTAGAGAATTTGACGTCTTATTCCGAAGTCCATTCTAAGGTAAATCTATGATTATTTTATTTGATTTTAACGCGCATTTTGCATTAGATCCGTATTGTTCCGGCGCAGTAATAATGTAGACTAGTTACCGGTTCGTTTATTTATAAGTTGGAACTCGTGTCACAAGAAATACGTCATGTTTTAATTGTTTCTAAGTGGTAACTTAAAAGGTATGATTATCAGTTTTTTGTCAACAATAGGACGTAATAGACGAGCTGACCGATTATCTACAACTAGTAAAGTTGTCGTCAAGTAATTAGTGTAGTTGGGACATTGAGAATAAACCAAATTCTAGAGTGTGTTATTTGTGAACTTCTTATCAGGAAATATTCGCGCATGTAATCTTGATTTTTCGTGTTAATTCATTACGCAAATATGCATATACATAGCTCTGTACATATAGAGTTTTGATTTTTCTTCCACAATGCATTTTATACAAGGAATACACGTATTTTATCTTGTTTGTTATTCTATAAATAGAATTAATGAGAGAAAGATATTTTATGTTTATAAAACTCTGTGAAGTATTGACTATGGAGTTTTACTCTACAATGCTGACCATAGATAAAACTTAAATATAGACATTTTATCATTATCTTTATTGGTTGTGAAATAAAAAAATATTTTACTTAACTTTTTGCATCTCAATATTTCATATTCTTATTTAAATCTTTTTATATATGTAACTTTGTTTATTACTTACTTGTGGCGGGGCAGGGGTCACGCCATCATATTTTTTGGTTTCTTATAACATAACACTACATAATTTCTTAATTCTAATGTGGAAAAGCGGACTTTTCTTATTTTCCTTACAAGTTCTAATAAGACTACAAATTAAAGCGATTTTGAAATGTCTAAAAAAAACAAATTGTAAAAAAAAAAATAGTCTAAGAAAAACAAACTTCGGTCTAAAGCAGAAATATCCTCAGTTGTCACAAAATAGAAATATGCTATTGTAAACTTTACGGTGCATGTTTCGTAAACATAGTGTTTTATTTTTTCATGAATTTGAGTTGAAATACAGTGTGTGTGTTATGAATAGTGTTGTTCTTTGTTTATTTTCAGTAATTACTGAAGAATATCAAGATTGAAGATACAAGAAAACAATACAATTTAAATAAACACGTAAAATACGATTCATGAAAAACCTTTGAACTAAACCGCTGGACTTCCATTAAAGAAAATAAATTTCCAAAAGTCTGATATGACAGAGGTAAAAGAACCTCCAATGAAAAAAGCCAAAATGGCAGAAACAACTACATTAGAAAATTTCATAGGAAATATCAAGAATTCAAAAAAGAATCTCATGGCAATCCTAAGCGATGAATTCACTAAACCAACACAATTTACACAAGTTTACGTTGGCACCGTAAACAACGTCCAAGAGTTATCAAAGATTATAACCACTTTGAATGATAAAATGCCTCTTAAAGAACTCCAGCATCTCAAGAGAGCCCGCAAAAATGAAGTAATTTTATGCTCTGTACAATATTTGAATACGCAACCTCAAAACTCAATTCAAGAGTATATTGAAGAAAATGTATATGAATTAAAGGACGCTTTTAAGTATTTCAAAGTTACTGGGTTGCCTGCAATGCCACCGAAACTGAAAAAACAACAACAAGAATTCAGTAGAGTGTGGTCCTGTAATTTTCATCCGAACGCATACTTAGAAAAATTGTATGGAGACCAATTCTTTTCAATAAACGAACTTATTGAACATCGGTGTTACATGGCCATTGCGTTTGAAGTAGCAAATTATTATTTAAGTAAATTAAAAGACAATTTATCAGTGTCCGATGTTTCTGAGAGCAGTCTCAATGCTACCGTTGTAGTGGATCCAACGATAAAATCAATAGTAGCAATTTCCTATGATAATAGAGAAAACCATCCAACCCAACATTCAGCCATGCTAGCCATAGATAATGTAGCGAAAACTCAAAATGGCGGTGCGTGGAACACAGCTGATAAATCGGCAATAGACAATGAGTTACAGAGTCACATTCAAAAAAAGTTTGTAAACGTCAAATTTGGCGCCAGAAATTATTTGACGAAGGAGGTTTTGGATGAACAGAAGAAAAATGCTTCGGAAAGTCCATATTTATGTACTGGATATTATGTTTATTTGATAAGGGAGCCATGTGTAATGTGTTCTATGGGTTTAGTGCATGCTAGGGCTAACAGGGTATTTTTCTGCTTCAATAATAACCTCAAAGGAGCCCTAAGTTCAAAAACTAAGTTACACTGTGTGCCATCATTAAATCATCATTTTGAAGTGTTCACAGATTTTTTATAGATAATTATTAATATTTGATATAAGTAGACATTTTTATTTTTGTAATTTGTTTTTAATGAATGGACTTGATCAATAAAGTTTGTGTATATTTTGAACTTTTTCGTGGTTTTATTTAGTTAACAAATCGCAACTATGGCTACCATTTTTTTGCTCACAAGAGAGGGTGTTAATGTAGCGTGAGTGTATGTTTTTCCAGTCACCGTAGCTGTCAAACACAGAGTGTTGGCACTGGCTAATTAATTTGTCTATAAAATTAACTACTTCTCACCAGCACCGGCACACCTACCGGCAAATAAGTACTTACGCATAAGTTCTTTCTTCAAATCGTTGCACAAAATAAATTGTACGTAGGGAGGTTCACCCCTATTTAATGGAACTCATAACATAAATAAAGATCAATCAGGAAAAACGCACATCTTTAAAAATACTTAACATAACATCACGCCTTTTATCCCCGAAGGGGTAGGCAGAGGTGCACATTACGGCACTTAATGCCATTATACAATGTAACACCCACTTTTCACTATTATGTTACGAGTCCCATGTAATAGGGGGTGAGCCTATTGCCATATACCGGGCACATTTCCAGACTCCGTCCTACTACTGAGATTTTTTTAAAACCCAGTAATCCTTTGCCCGACCCGGGAATCGAACCCGAGACCCCTTGCCTGGCAGTCGCACTTGTGACGACTCGGCCAATGAGGCAGCCCTTTGAAAATAACTGGGGAAAAAGGAGTGCTAGATTTTACCAATGTACCTCTGTCTGCTCAAGCTTGACGTAACTACCTACCTAATGTTATCTTATGTTTATCATTACCAAATAACATAACTGGAGAAAACTAGATCTAATCATTTCTACTCGTCGGGGAATAACAGGCTATCGTTATTTTGGGTTTGGGCATAGAATCGTAAACAAAAAAAGTAATGATCTAACACGATTTTTTATCTTCAATATGGAAGTAATAGAGTATTATTAGATACCTACGTAAATATTAGATAAAAGGAAAATTAACAGTTGGCTAATAAATTATCATGGTTTTCGGCTTACTCACGTAATTATTTGACGAGGAACTCGACTAGTTTCAAGCCATGATAGAGGCTCATATTCATGAGCAGCATTCCGCACTATCACGGCAGAGGGCGCGCTTGGCCCGTACCGAGTAGCCACAAGCAGCGCGACAGTCGCCGCGTCGCGACTCGATTCACAGTCGAGAACACTAGTCGAGTTCCTGTTCAAATAATTACGTGGGTATCTAAGCCGAAAAACGTAATAATGAATGTAGTAAGTCACACAAAAGTTCGATAATTGTTTCTTTATCATAAATTTTACCTAGCATACCTATATCTTGCCGGGTCTCCGGTTCAAAGGGCAGGAGCAGGAACGGGGTGGGTTTTAGTCAGTAAGAGTTTGACACTCCCTCCCGCCTCACCCAGACGGGAGATGTCATTTGACGATTTTCCCCCCATAAAAAAGCATACCTATATCTGCTACTGTAGAATTGTGGACTGGTACTCTCATAGTTTTTTCCATAATCCATTGGACGGCCTCATTGGTCCAGTTGATATAAACACGACAGTTTATATCAACTGTTAGTTAAGGTCCTAAGAACTTAAGAAGAAA